GGTCCAAAGGGGTAGGGTGGTGGGAGGGGCAGGGGAAAGGAAAGAAGGGAAAGGAAAAATGCAGAAAAATGGAAAAAAATGGAAATAAAGTGTTTGTAAATAGGGAAAGGTGGAGGGGGTGAAGGGAGGGCTAAGAACGGGGAAAAAATAAGAACCAAGATGCATCATATAAAGGTACCAGTTCCCAATGAGAAATGTAATTGTGTTGTATACCTAAAATGTTCCAATAAAAGAATTTAAGAGAAAAAAATAAAAAATATCATGTAAATGATGTAAATAATAGATTATGTTCAAAGTAGAATCTCCTAACTTGTTTTTTGGATGTCAATTGGATTTCATATTTTTAACTTTGTTCTGTCACTGTCTACACACACACACACACACACACACACACACACACACACAGTATCATTAGTTGAGTGATTGGTTCCTTTATAAGATCACTTTCACTTACTTACATATTTTATCTTCCAGTGCATCGTTAGTTGCCACCATTTTAATAGATATGCACACCCTCTTCCATCTGTGTGGTGTCTTTATAGCTCTCCCTCTCTCTAACCTCATACTACTGCAGCCCACTTTTAGACATGTGCTATTGTGTCTAAAATAAAAATCTAACTATTCATCTTCTGCTTAAAAGACTTTGATTGATTCCTGTTGTTTTCAGAACAAAATTTTCACTCCTTAAATGGGTGAGCCAGCCATGGAGAATCCACTCTTGTCTCCTTTTGTGACTGCAACCCCACCTCCGCCCCATCCTGAGCGGAACTGCCTCTGCCTTGCTGTGGATGTTTCAAGTGTCCCGTGTATATGCTGGTCTTCAGAGGTGTCCTTTCTCCATTTTCCCAAGGTAAATTTTTTGCCTTTCAAGAGTTAGACAAGTCTCACCTGTGCTCTGAACTCATTATTTCCTGTCCTAACAATTAATCATTCTCTCTTTTCCATGATTGTTATGGATGGGACTCCTAGTAGACAGTGTTAGTTGTAAAGATTTTTAGTAGGTCTTTCTATTCCACTGGGCTGTGGACTTTCTGAGGTAGCACTTGATCTCATTTATTTTAGATGTTATACCACCCAGCGCAATATGTGGCACATCATAAAATCTCAACAAAGTATGTAAATTAGTAGATAAATGATTTTTAACTTAAAATCTAGATGGTGTTTCACATTTATTTCAGCACATTTATACATCCACAATTAGCAAATTCTAATGTGAAAAATGTAAGAGTATTATTCCTAATATATAACTTTAAATATAGATAATTCAATAGACTTACTTTTTTTTTCATACGCAGTCTTTAGTAGGTACATGCCTTGCTCCTGGTATTATTAATATTATTTGGAGAAGATTCACCTACATCTAGCAGATTATATTTTCTGGTGGGCTGGCATTTACTTGGATTAAGAAGTTGGTGATAGGGCCAAGGATTTAGCTCAGTGGTTCCGCCACCTGCCTTGCAAGCGGAACGACCCGAGTTCAATCCCCAGAACCAGAAAAAAAAAAAAGAAGGTGGTGATAACTCACCTATCCACTGATATTGCAAATAAAGTAAAGACTGAAGCCGCGACTGATATTCCCTGGATCAATCCACTGATCTTGCACATTGCACTTCCAAATGGCCATCCTGAAAGGGAAATGCAGAAGGCTTTGAAAAGTTCACTTTTTTATTGCATGGAGAATATGAATGGAAATATGTAAAAAAAATAATGCAACTGTTTTCTTATGGTTATAGAACAATGTTTTCCAGTATTTTCACTAATTTCTCCAGAGCTCGTTTTTTAGTACTCTAATAATAGTAATGATAGTAATGATGTCAAACTTATAATTTATCCAGGCTCTTTAATAAATAAAGTCCAGGCACTTTAATAAATGCTCTAAATGTATTCCATATCTAACCCTATGACAAGCTTTTGAAGGCTTTGGCATTCTCATGATGTATATAGACAAGGTAACAAGCATAATCACATAACATGCCTTGTAGCAGCCAGTTAGTTGCATAAGGATTTGAACTCAGGCAATAGGTTTCCAGAGGCCATGCAATTAATCCTTATGTGATAATGCCCCATAAATAAGCAAAAACAATCAGAATACTGGTGTTCTAGTTTAGAAATATGCCAAATTAATTATGAATAGTCTGGAGTTGTACACAGAATAAACTATAATCATTTATACAAAATGTAACAAGACAATTTACATCATAGCTACTTCCAGAATGAAGAACACTTTGCAATAAATCATCTAAAAATTTTCCCAATGAATGGTCCAAACTACAAAGCTAGGAATGGTCTAATCTCAACCTCCAAGCACAAGGAACGTCTAGGCAGCTACATAGTAGCTGAGAAAGTAGCTCAGTAGTTTCTCACTGAGAAAAACAAACCTCAAAGTATTTGTTATGCAAGGTAAGCCTTGCATAACAATTATAAAACAATTATAAATGAAAAAGACTCTAACAGCATTACCAACGAAATCAGAGACAGAACACATTTTATACGTGACACATACATGATACTGTAGGAAATAAAAAATTAAAATGGCACAAATAATTTAAGTTTTAATAACAGAAATTAAATCAATGTAAAATTCAATGAGAAAGTAAATAAAGTCTTTGAAAATGAACAACCACGGACAGAAAATAGAAGAAAAAATACAAAACGGGAAATTCAGAATCTTCAGTCTGTGGTTAATATAAGTAGAAAGAAAAATGGAAAGAACTCTTCAAGAAAATCCACCAGTATTGGAGAGTATTTGTTTCCTGATAGAAATAACAAGTGTGTGTCCAGTGCAATAAATATAAAACAAAAAGACTTCCTACAATGCATATTTCTTAAAATTCAGAAAACTAGGGATGAAAAGTGTATAAACTTTTATGAATAAAAGATACAAATCATGAGTAACAAATGACAAATGACACCAGATTCTTCAGCAATAACTCCATATTTCAATGCAATAGCAAAAGAGAAATCTTTAAAAAATTCTAAGGGAAGAAATTTCCAACCTAGAATTCCTCATGCACTTAATTATAATCAAACATCAAGGCAAAATAAAGATATCTTCAGACATACAAGACCTCAAATGTGTTTTATTTCAATATCCATTTCTCAGGAAAGAAGAAACCAAGAAATAAGCATACATGGCATGCAAAAAATAGGGAGTGGAGGACAGAAGAGTGAAAAAGAACTGTTATAATTGACTTCCACTGCGTGAACACAAATAGGTCTAGATACACTTCACCTTCTCTCTTTCTACCAATGTAAAAATACCATAGTTTTTATTTAAATCAATATCCAAATCACACATTAGTATTTTCTATGCCAAACCAGTGGAGGGACATCCCACAGCAGCAGTCATTGATCTTCGTGCTTGGAGAACATCAGTTTCAGACAGGAAAAGGGGTAGAGAGCACCACTAGATGCAGCTCATAGATTCCTGGGTGTATTTGAAAGTGCTAACATGAAAGTAACACTCTGGGAAGAGAATTTGAGGATACCTCACCAATAAGTACACAGCAAAAACTAAGAAAATCAAATCACACTTGATTGAGCCTGGACAGGGACATCACCAGTTCCAATGAGCCCACTCACCATCTTAGAGAAACATAGGTTTCATTTCACTTAGGTCACAGAGGACATATCAGTAGGTTACAGAGTTCACAGAGGATATATCAGCAAGCCACAAGCATGGTGTTTCCCTGACCCATCCCCTCAAAAACCCACCAAAAAATTCTACAAAAAGCCTCTTAGCCTATAAGAGACACCTTCTCTGTTCTGCTCACATAGAGAGGTCCTTCTCAGCTTTAGCAATAAACCTGGTTGGATTGTTGAATTCATGTCCCTTTCCCACTCAATGATATCCTTGGTAAAGTCAAAAATCAAACATTTTGTTAGTGAAATTGATATCAGAGCACTTCACTGCTTTGGCAAGGATAAGATACGTATAAAATAAGAATATATACTCTGGATAGTGGTGTAATTGTTACATTGTTACATTGGTAGAAAGAGAGAAGGTGAAGTGTTTGAATGTATGCTTGTATTTACACAGAATTATAAGAGCAAAATTTAAATCATCTATGGTTTGGACACAATATATTACAGGGAAAGGATGTTACTGAGAAATACGGTAAAATTACAAAAATAAAGACAAAAAGTGCTGAAAGAAGCTGCCTCCTAGGAATTGAAATCAAGAGGGGAAGACAGGGTAATTAGCATGCAAAAAAGGTATAAAAATGTGTTAATTACATGTACAATCCTCCAACAAGGAATGTAAGCAGTATGTACTGCAAACATGTACTAATGCAACAAATAAATTTTTAAAAAATGTTTATGGGAGAAAATATTGAGAGCAGTTCTTGGCAAAGCAACTTGCCTGAGGGACAATAATTGTTTACCAATTCTTTCAAACACTTGTCTAGCACAGTATCTTGAGCACGCTACTTCCTCAATTATTATTTGTTTAATAACAAATATCATAAAAACTCATAATCTGTGCAGTGTGTTACTGATAAAATAGACACTCTGAATTCCCTTTAACTCCTATTACAGACAAAGGAAAAAAGCAGAGGAAAACTCCAGAGAGAAACTTCTTTGCCAAGCTGAATACTCTAAAAAGATAAGAGCTATGATATCCTCAAGCTGCTCTAATATATTCATTGACTACTTCATTTTTCAGATTGTAATGTGAGCATGTTGAGTATTATTCATTCATATATATAACACATATAAGCTACTTCTAAATGCGAACTGTTCTGGGATCTGGAAATACGCTGTTCCTTCACCTTGCAGCATTCTATACGGTGCTAAAGCAACAAGATTTTGGACCCAGAAGTACCTACCACAGGGAGGCATCCTAAGCCTCACAATGAGAATGATTTATGTTACACATGTAAACTGCCATATTTTGAGAAATCATTGGGACTGTTCTATCTTCCCACCAAAACTGTTAGAAATCTCCCTTGCTAACCACAGCAGGGCCTCCATGTCTATTTACATTAGATTGAAACTTCTTTGGTGGTATGTTGGAATCAGATGCAACAATTCCTTGAATTTTATACTCCATAATATACTTAATAATATTTCTGCTTTACTGTATGTGACTTGTTCTCTCTTAAGGGAATTCAATAATTCTGATAAGAAGTGCTAGATCTCATTCTCTGATGACCTTCACTGAATTCTCTGTAAAAATAACATCTACTCTGTCACTGTAACTGGCTTTATCTTTCTTGGTTAAGTATTTTCAAATTATATGTCTGTTTATTGTCTATCTTGTCCTTTAGAATATATACCTCATAAGGGCAGGAATCTGGAACAGTTTTTGGACTTCATCAACATTTGTGAATGAATGAAGGATCCTGCTCTGTCTGCAGTGACATCTGACCTAACACTTTTCCATATCATCTTTGCACCACACATAATCCAACATACCTGTTATAGTATTGTCCAGCAGTGTTACAGGCATGCAGAATATGCCAACTAATAAATCACTTATTGCCAGGTTTAAAATGAAGAGATTAGTGACTGTGTGTATATGTTTGTTCCTTGCAACAATAAAGCAAACCATGATGTTTCCCACCATGCACAAGAAGAAGATTAGAAAGTAGGAAATAATGAAGATTGCTGCCACCTGAGGGTGGCGAAGATAGTAGTTCACATAGGTAATGTTAATATCTGAGACCAGATGATGCTGTGTGTCATTGACACTCCAGATGTGATCCCAGTTTTTGGAAGGGTTTGAGTCCCATTTGTCACTCATGATGGACCTTAACAAAAGAGAGACAGAAAAGAAAAGCAATTAAAAACAAATAGAGCATAGTTCTATGCTTGAGTTTAATAAGAGGAACACTTTAAAATATTATTGAATTCTGATGGACTTTTTGTAACAATTCATCAGTTTTGTATGAAACTGAGCCATAAATAAGATATTAAAATTATTTAGATTTTAAGTAAGAGCATTTGAAAACACTACTTCATGTCATATACAGCAATTACTGATGTATTTTATTTCCTGATACACTTGTACTATAACCTATCAAAACCAACTTGTCTTTATAAAGGTAATTTACGTACCTCTAGCTTTTCTGATAATCTGAGTAAGATGCAGTGTCTGCACTTTCAAAACACTCATACCAGTAAGCTTCTTGTGTTTACCTTACTCTACTTTGACTCAGTTAACTGAATATTCTTTTTACAAAGTCTATATGCAGACTGAGCCAACATGTCATTAATTTCTTAAAATCAGGATAGGTTACTCACTTTTCTCATTCACAGAGAATGTATTAGTCAGTTATTTAGAATCCATATATCTTAATGCAGACATTTCAATAAAATGTTGTGTTTGAGAAGCATGAAAGACCACTCCCAGTTTCAAACTCAGTATATAGTGCATTTACAGCTGCTATTTGTTAAAGGACATAGAACAAATCAGCAAAGAAAACAGGCACATGGGGGAAAGCAGAGAAACTAGGCACAAGTTCCCAAGAGTCTTCCATCAATGGAGTAACACAGGACAAACTTACTTCCTGTAGCAAGGAGTTTGCCAATATGTGTGAAGTACTGTCTATCAGGGAAGCTTATTAGATAGATACACAACACCCCAGGCTTTCAGTGAAAAATTACCATGTGAGTTCCTTCTTTCTAGATGTATCGAGGTCCCAGACTTCCAGGTGGAAAGTAGATATTCACATAAATCATGGTCTTTGTATAATCAAGACATATTAAGTCATTCCATCACTTAAGGAAATTCTTTATCAGTACAGAGAATGGTTTACTATTTAAGTTCCCAGACCAAGGGTCAAACTTGTAAGAGGGCCTTTCTAAGGATAGCCTTGGGTCTTATTAATTCTTTTCTTCATGTATTGCTATTGACTACACAGTAGGTTATATGTGTTCATAAATAAAAATGAATTTGACAGTGGACTTACACACTTGAGTTCTCATATTTACATTTTTAGGAGTTATTTTATGCAACTTGAATTGGTAGAGATAAATTGAAATGGCTCTGCTGCAGGTCCTAGTGGGAGGCTTTTAGTGACTTCATTCTCACTTACCATTTTCTGTCTTTCACCAAGTACAGATTTGTATCATTTTAGGTGGGAAAGTTTGTTCTCCAGATATTACAATAAGTAGTAAGATATCACTTTTGATACTTTGACTTTGGATGGTTTTCTGTTTGTATTTTGAGGATGAAAAGAGTAACATGATAATAAGTTACTAAAAACAAGGTCATAAAAGGGATTATTTTTCTCTAGTAGCTCACATTAATTTGTCATTTATTTCTTCTTATTTAAAAACTCTTCTTTGCCCTAAAAAAATGAAAACCAAAGTGAATATGGGATGGAGTAGGGGCTGGCAAAGAGTAAGAAAGCAAAAAATAAAAAAAATAAAAATAAAATTAAATTTAAAAAAAGAGTAAAAAAAGCAATTTCAGTAAGAATAGTAGATGTAGTTAGCTTAATAAAGTCAGGCTGAGTGCATCTTTGGAGTGAAGGGCCTGTCATTGAGAATATCTACTGGCTTGAACTTTGCAATCAAAGTCTCCAAAAAGCACTCATACAAAGATTTGAAGATATTTGTATCTAAAACACAGAAACACTATAAATACAAATGAGAACTACATGAAGAAACTGCACAGAATTAAAATTTACTGATTTGAAACATCTATAATGAGTGGCTTCAGCAAGGTGATAGAACAGAAAGTCTCAGGTGCCAAATGTCCTTCTCCTCTCCAAAAAATGTTTAACCAGCAGCTACCTACAAACCTGAATACCCTTTTGAAAATCTCAATTCTTGGGAACCACCCTAAGGCACCCATGTGATTTACAGAACTGAATTAAATCTAACTTAGAAGTTTAAGAAGAAGAGTCTCATACTGGCTATATTTTCCTCCCCACAAAGCCAGACACAGGATTTTCCTGAGGCCCACATTCAGAAAATTCTACATCTATAATGACAGTGCATAAAGCAATTTTATCCCCAATGTGTTAAAGTATTAATAACAACTGTAGGTAAAATAAATTCTCAAGGAATACACTTTATAAAATGATGTAAATTTTGACACCCCAAAACATAAAATGTATGTGGGGAAGTAAAAGTGTGGAATTGTTCTATGCAATAAATTTGCTGTTATTGACTTGATATAGGCTGTTATAAGATGTTGAGTATAAGCCTCATGATAAAAACCAGCAAAAATCTAGAGCAGAAGAATAAAACAAAAATAGAAAGTATTTAAAGCATACCAATACAGAAAATCACAAATCCACAAAAGAAGACAGCAGGAAACAGTATTGTATCAAAACAATTAGAAAACAAGTAGCAAAAAGACAGTAGTAAGTCCCTACCTATTAATAGTTACCTTGAAAGTAAATGAGTTAAATTCTCCAATAAAAGTCAGAGCAACCAAAAGAATAAAAGTAAAATAAGACCCAACTATATTCTGCCTGAAAGACAATCATGTTACTTAACTTCAAGGACATTCATTTAATCAGAATATTCTTTAATCATTTAACTAAAGTACTATTTCGCAGGTTATGGGAAAGTTACAATGTTTACTTTGAAATTAATAAGAATATTTTTGAGAGATCATTCCAAACTGTGAAATTTCTTTTTTTTAAATCAACTTTTGCTCATTGCTTCTAATAGTCATTGATAATTCTTTCCTGGAATTATTATTACTATGGAAAATGCCATGTGGTAAATTTCTAATGCCAGAACTCATCCTACATTTACTAATTAGAATTCTGTTTCTAGAGTAACTCAACTATTTAATAATTACTCATTTATTTATTTCTCAGTATGGATTTATGGATGAAGGACCCTTGTTAGCAAGACAGACTCCATATTGCTGCTTGACCCACCTGCCTGCCCTTTAGATGAACTCAGAAGGAGGAAGTTTAGAAACCTCCTCCCCTTAGAGAGTCTCTTAGAAACAACAATTAATCAACTATTGTTTTACAAACGTTCTAACAGCAGGACGTTCCGCTTCTGTACCTTTTGCTTGCTTTACTAGTTCTATCCCATAGGGGGGCCTAGAAACTGTTGGCCTCAAAGGTGTATAAAACATGTTTGTCAACCTCCAGTCGGGGCTGGAGTCTGATGCTCAGCTCAGGTCCCGGCCGGTAATAAACTCCTGTGTGGATTTAATATCGGTCTCTGGTTGGTTCTCTCTCACTGGGTGTAACAATGGACTCTTCAAGATATCATCTTTTATTACCACTGTTTATTTTAATTCTGAAATTGTCCTAGAATCTATGAACATGGATGCCTCTTTCTTTTCAACATGATTATCCCTTCTTTTTGGAATGGAAATGTTTACCATGTGCCATTGTATGTTGGAATTACTTAACTTTCTTTTCAATTTTTATAGTGGCCTTGAGTGTCAGAGCAGACTTTGGAGGAGCGCTTTTCATTACAGCTGATACTGTTCAGACTTTGGCAACACTTACAGGTAGGCTAAATACATTTTATATAATTGGATGAACATGAGACTTTTAGGATTAGGGGTAGAATGGTATATTTTGATCTAGAATGTCCTCCAGAATTCGCAGGTGTTTAGCAGTGGGGGTTTGGGAAGGTGATTGGATCACGAGGGAGTTATACTCAATAGTGAATTGATCTATTGATGAGTTCATGGCTAAATGTGCTATTAGGAGGTAGGGCCTGGTTGGAAGATATTTGTCACTAGGGTTGTAACCCTCCTCAGATCCTTCATATCTCTCTGCTTCTTGCCTGCCATGAAGTGAACAGCTATCCTCTGCCATGCTTTCCACCATGCTGTTTCTGCCTTTGAGCCAACTGACTATAAACTAAAATCCCAAAACCATGAGCTGTTGGGAGCAATGCTACATAATTTTAGGGTAAAATCATTTGGTTAGCCTAGTTCTCCTGCCTACAGACCAGGTATGGAATTTTGAGACATAATTCCATTTTGGCCTCTGGACACAGCTGAGACCTCAATGATCCAGTGATGCTGTGATTCTCCAGGACAAGAAACATCCTGGAAGCTGAGAACATCCTGGAAGGAACAAACATCTACTCAGTTCCTCCTTGTTCTTGGATTGTTACATCTTATTTATGCACGATGTACTGAACTCTCTGCAAGTCATTTGTTACATTTGTTTCTCCCGATGTACTGAGTACTGAATAAAATGTGAGGTAAGCTGGGGGCTTTCTTCTTTGCTGCCCAGAGCAGCACTGATCAGACCCAAAGCTCAGCTTCTTCTCAGTCTCATTTTTCTACCTTTCCTGTAATTCACCTTGTGCTGCCATAGCTCGCAGGAGACTAGGACTTACTGCAGAGGTTCTAGTAATGTTCCCTTTCCCCATTCCCTACAATGAGCCAAATTAAACCTTTTCTCTTTTAAGTTGTGGGTATCACATGTTTCATCCCAACAAAAGAAAGTTGACTTATATAGTGGTGTACTTTTTATTTGGCATTAATATTAACACTATTTAGTCAAGAAGTGATTCCAAAAACTGGGTACTAAATTTTTTTTTTACAAAAAGGTACCCAAGTTTATGATGGGAATGGCAAAGGGCTAAAATCACAAGGTGAGTCTCATTAGGGAAGCATTTCGCTGTACTCTTCTTGGGACCGAGGGGGTATACAATATAATGACATTCGTCATTGGAGATTAGATTTGTACTTTTACATATTCTACCTTGATTCTTATTTTTCTCCATCCCCTGCCCTCCCTTCAACCCCTCCACCCCTCCCTATTTACAAAGACTTTCTTTCCGTTTTTCCATTTTCTCATATTAATTCCATTCCCTTGTTTCCTTTCCTCTACCCCTCCCACTTCCCCTTCCCCTTTGCCCCTTTTCTTCCTATTTCACATTAACTATTATACATTTTAGCCCTCATTTACACTTTCAGTTTCTCACACCAGAGAAACTATTGGGAATTTACACATGTGTACCCTATCTATTTCACTTAAGAGTATCACCTCAGTGTGCATCCATTTAGCTAATTTCTCATTGTTTATGGCTATTACTCCATTTTATTTTACAAAAACACATTTTCTTTATCCAGTCTCCAGTTGATGGGCTATTTGGCTGTTTCCAAGTTTTAGCTATTACAAACTGTGCTGCTGTGAACATGGGTGCATATATCTCACTGTGCTATGATTCTTTTAATTCTTTTGGGAAGATACCCAGAAGGGGAATAGCTGGGTCAAATGGGACCTCTACTCCTAGTTTTGTGAGGTATCTTCATATTTATTTTCACAGTGGTTGCACCAGTCTGCATTCCCACCAACAATAGAGAAGCATTCCTTTCTCCCCACAACCCCACCAGCATTTATTGGTAGATTTCTTGATAGCAGCCATTCTTTCTGGGGTGAGGTGGAATCTCAGTGTTGTTTTCATCTGCATCTTTTGAATGACCAGTGATGTTGAACATTTTTTCATATGTTTATTTCCTTCTTTAAGTGAAATAAATAGGACATATGTGTTTAAATACCAAATAGTTTCTCTGGTGTGAGAAACTAAAAGTGTAAATAAGGATCAAAATATATAATTAGTAATGTGAAATAGGAAGAAAAGGTCTAAAGGGGTAGGGGAAGTGGGAGGGATAGGGGAAAGGAAAGAAGGAAAAGGAAAAAATATGAGAAAAGGAAAAAATGGAAACAAAGTCTTTATAAATAGAGAGGCTGGAAGGGTTGAAGGGAGAGGAGGGGAATGGGGAAAAAATAAGAACCAAGATATAGCATGTAAAGGTACAAATTCTCAGTGGTGAATGTAACTGTATTGTATACCTAAAATGTACCAATAAACAATGAAAAAAAAAGCTGATTTAACAGTAAACCAAAGGATCAATCCAAGAAACATTTTGAGAACAAAAATAAACTTTAAGGGTAATTAGGAGGGTAAGGAAGAAAAAGTAATTAGGTGACTATAAGAACTAAAGAAAAGAGTACACTGATTAAAGAAGTGTAGTAAATGAAGAAATGCAGAAGAACAGAAGGACAAATATACTATAAAATTTAAAATATATCTGCACAGAAGAATGGATCTGACTAATGTCCATAAAAAGAAATAAATCCACTAATAGGTCTTATGTCTCTAGATGGTAAATAAACTGTTTATAGACTGCTCCTTTAATTTCTCGGTGTCAATAAAACTTCTTTCAGATCAAACCTCTAATTTTCATATTTAATTTTATTAACTTTATTATAATTATAAAATCATGGATAAAAACAAAAGGTAGCAATTAAATAATTTTAAGCATGGAATGTTATAAAAGTATAATGATGAATCTGGAATATAATCTATTGAAATAAATATATATGTGACTAAAGATATATAAACAATTATATTCACTGTAACATTACACAAAAAGCTTAGAAATTTTCTTTACTACAAAACAATCAAAATATTACATCGGCATATAATATATGCAGTAATTTCAAAACCGCAAAAAAGGCCAGTAGATAAAATGTGTTGCTATGGATATCTTGCTCTCCCATGTTTTTGTTTCTATTTTAATAGATGTACAAACTATAAAATGATAATTATTTATTTACTGGAAAATCAGTTTCATTGCCCTTATAAATAGATGTTAATATTCATCAGAAAGTAAAGTTATCACCAATTTCAGTGATCTGCATGAACATGAGAATTACTTCAATAAAATAACAGTTTTGCAAAGTGTAAGTTGAAGAAGATAACAAAGACAAAAAGAAGAAATGTGCAGCTTCATTGGGAAGGAAGAAAAGGGCACTCTGAAAAGCCCAGAAAACTTTAATAAATTTCTGGGCAGAGAAGACTATAAGATTGGACAAAGGGAGGAAGCACCCCACAGGAAATCCCAGGCTAATATACATCTAAGAAGTACTGCTATGAAAATGGAGTGTCCGTGAGACTGCTTCAAGGTCAGGGTCACAATGTAAAAAAACAGGAGAGGACCTGAAGGAATTATTTCAGATAAATTGGGAAGCTGCTTTGGGAGCAGCTGAATGTAGCAGGTACCCACCCTACCTCTGCCAGAGACCAAGGCACCCATGGTCAGGAAACATGAACCACAGGCCCCAGGTAGAAGCAGGCATTCTCCTTCCCATGACGTCACAGACCACACACTCCTAATAGTACAGGTCTAAATCAGTCACACCAGCAAAAATGAGAAGGAACAACGGTATCTGAATTGGGCATACAGGTGAAGGGAGATAGACATTACTGTACAGCGTTAGCATCTGATAAACAGAAGGCTTATTTGAGGGGAGTTTGAGAATATCTGTCAAATTAAAATGGCATATTTTCTACTTGACCTTTTTATTTGTAGGAATATAACATAAATACATTTATGAGTAAAAATCTATAAAAGTATTACATTCACTGTAACATTGTTGTGAGAAGTTTAAAGCAATATAATTGGCCATGAGTAGACAAAATTTAAGTGAATTACTGCACTATTAATAATCAAATGTACAATATGGTTACCCTAATAATAGCAAAACCCCTAAGGCTTGAGCTCTGCCACATTCTATTCTGAACTTCAGTGCATATTAATTTACTTAATCCTCTGAGGAAGTGCTATAGTTATCACTCTTCCTATTTTCAGATGAAGAAACTGAGGAAAAGATGCCTGGTCCTACATTAATAAATGGGAAGAATAAAGATCAAGATTTAAACTCAATCTGACTCCAGAGACTTCACTCTACCTACTATGCTACCATAAAATATGGGCATTAATATTAATAAAGCAAATTTCATTATGCTGACACATAAGGGTCTATAACACACATTGTCTTATGTCAACAACAAAATCATTCAATATAGAAAAAAGCTCTGTTAAAAGTTGTTACTTCTTGGGACAGAAATGGAGCATGGTGTGAAGTTTGTACATTTCACTAGTTTTTATCATTCCTCAAATCTTCTTATAGCACAAATACATTCATGTTGTGCCTAAATAATTAAAATAAGCAAAGAGCAATAGCATCTATGTGTTATTTACAATTACCAAATCCTAGCAAAGCTTCTGAAAGCAACATATGAGGAAGATTCCATTATTGTTGTAGAAGTTAGTTCCCATCCTGTACTTCAAAAGATTAATATCTATATCTGGTGTACATATGATCCTAACCTACATGTCAACTACTATATGTACACTCATCAATACTTAAAATAACTTATCTTTTAATCATAAAATAAAACCACAGAGATTGGGAACTCTTGAGTGGAAGCAGTAACTAGAAACAAGCATGAGGGGAGGCTACGGGAAACAGAAATTAGGATTTTTTTAATGTGGGTGCTAGGTATTTAGTTTTTGAAAATTTATTGACTTTTATGCAATGCATCCTTTATTGGAGAGGACTAAGATGTTGATTGGATACATATTTCTGACCCTGAGGGAAAAGAAAAAGGAGGCAACTCAGTCCAATTTCCTTGTCAGCATGATAACTGGACCTCTGAGTAGATAGATATTCATATTTCTACAAAATCCTTATATTT